ATAAGACGTGAATTATCTATTAATAAAAAATTATCATGAATTTTAGAATTATATTTAAAATATCGAGAGAACTACTCCTAATATAATCTTAAGTAAATAAATGATTTGTTGAGATCTTAAAATTTTTTATTATTTTATTAATTGTAATTTGATTTAAAAAAAAAATATTTGTTATTAATTAATTCTTAAAGTTTAAGCATTAATAATAATAAAAAAATCACAAAAATTTGTAAATATATTTAAAAAAAATTAATTTTATTAAAAAAAAAATGAATTTTGATTATTTGATTTTTAAAATTACTGTATTACTCATATATATAAAAAATTAAATAAATTTTTTTTTTCAAAAGAAAGGTAGAATCTAAATCAACATTTAAGAAAATTTTACATTTCTTCTCTCCTTAATATATTTTTAGATTAGCACTATATAAAATAATCCAAATTAAATAAATATTTTATTCACTATATGATTCAAATAAAAATATTCTGAAGGATATTACCTATTTTATTTAGATGTATTCAAATAATAGTAAGGTATCTCATATATTAGCTTAAAATTTAATTTGATTTTATAATATTTTTCTTTAAATATAGAAAATAATCATTCTTACTTTCATGACTATCTAAAGATTGATATTTGTCAAGAGTATTTTAAATGTAGTAAATTTTACTGTATAACTTAATCAATATAAAGGTAAAAATAGAATAAACTTTATATTTATAATTAAATATTTGATAGAATTAAAATTTTAAATAAGTAGGGCCAATTAAAAAAAAATGAAAAAATTTTATAGCATTCCTTTTTCTCATTAAATTAAGGTTTTTCATTTTTTTAATGTTAATATCAAAATTAATATATTAAAGTAAAAAACAATGTTATAAATTATAGTTTAAATCTAAGAATATATGTTTTATTTTTAATGTTTAATATAATGATGAAAAAATGACAATTAAAATTAAAGTTAAAATTAAATATATTTTTTATTATATTAAATTAAAATTAATTTTACATAATAAACAAAGTTTTTTATTTCTTCTTTTAGGAATTTTTATACTAAATTTTTAGAATTAATCTCATAATTTAATTTATATTAGATTACTAAATCTTATTTTAATTTGTATTTAATTATTAAAATCATATAATTTGAAATTTTTGACTATCAAATTATATATATTTTTTAGGATTAAAAACTATTAGAATTATAGATTATCAGGATTTAGATATATAAAATTTTGAAGTTAAAATTCTGAACTATTAGAATTATGGATGTTAAAATATTATTATAAACCTATTAAGGAGATATATCAGTTATTTTTAGTTAATAACTTTGATTATAAAATGCAATAAAAGTTAAAATACTATTTTTAATTTGTTTTTAATAAAAGAAGATAAATAAAAATGTTGATTTAGATTTCTTAATGAATTAAATCTAATCTAATTTAATATTCACAATGTTAAATCTAAATTCAATAGAAATTAAATTAAAGAAGCTATTATATTTATTAAAAATTAGAATTATTCTTATTTAAAACTATTTTTATGATAGAATAAAATTTATTAACAATTTTTAGAATCTTTTTTAAATTCTTTTTTAATCAAATAATTTAATTTGATTCATTTATAAAATCAAATGTAAAGATTTATATTAAAATAAGATCATATTTTATTATTAAATGAATAAAAAGTAATCTTTATTTAATTTATCTTTTTTACAAAAAAGAAGTTAAATATATATATTATAATAAGGATAAGATTACTTTTTTTGAATTATACTAATTTTTTATTATAAATATTTGATAAATCATTCTTATTTATAAAATAAGAAATATATTTTTTAATCTTTAAGAACTAGTTTAAGAATATTAAGATTAATTCTATCATAAATTTTGAATTGATCTTGCAAAAGGGTTTTTATATCTTTTTTATGTTTAATGATATCACTAATAATCATATTATAATCTTAATTAGATATTTAGTTAAGTTATTTAGTAGTCTATTAAAATTATTATCTTTAAAAATTTGATATTTACTGAAATTTTAAAAGATGATTGATGATTATTTTTAATAAAGACTTTTTTATAATTTCAAATAAGATAATAATCATTAGATGATTTACAATAATATTAGAAAAGTGATAAAAGTTTATAATAAGGTAGAAGTATGTATATTATAGATGAGGGACGAAACTTCTTAATAACAGTCGAAACTTAGATAAAACTATATTAAAATTATAATAAGAGATATGACGAAACCCATTTGATATAACAAAAGCCAAAACTGTCAAAACTATATTAAAAATATAGAAAAGGGTATGACAAAATTATTTTGAGGAGGTTTCGGCAGGCATCTATAATGTATATATGATAAAATTGCATAAAAATCTAGATTATATTAATTTAAGATTAAATAATAAGTATGTAAAATTTTAGATTAAATGAATAAATATTAGAGAATATAGATCAAAAAGCTTAAAATATTACTTGTAAATTTACTAGAATCTGATAATAAAAAAAATTTGACAGGAGATTTTAAATAGTATATAATCAAAAAAAAAACAAAATAAACTAGTTTATATTAAAATTAATATTATTTACTTTTACTTTTAAAATAAAAAATAAACTGTCTTTTAATGTCTTAATTTCTTTAATAATTTTGATAAAATAAAATATTTAAATAAATATTCAAAATAGAATAATTTATATAGAGAATACAAAAAAAAAAAATTCATTTTTATATATAAGAAAAATAAAATTATATATAATAAATTTTTATTTCATAATTAAAGTTATATAATTAAAAAATTTAAGCCTATATATTATACTTTTAAGTAATGAACTTTAATAAAAAATTGAATAAATAATGACAAATACTATGTTGATATCATAATATAAGACCTTTGCAATAAAAAAAAGAGAAAAATAGCTAGAAAAAATAAAAAATGAGTTAATGCTAAATTTGAACATATTTTGACCTAAAAATCATATTTGGTATATAAAAATAAATTAAATTTTTTGATAATTTCCTTCCTTTCTATTATAAAAGTCTTATATAATCAGCCTAAATTTAGTTAAATTTTTTATTTACTTAGTTTAATATAAACTGAAAAATCACATTAATGTAGAACTGGAGAAATTATATTAGTATAAAACTAAAGAAATTATATCAGTATAGAAATGGGAAATTTATATTTGCGTAAAACTAGAAAAATTATGCTGAATAAAGAATTATGCATATAGGCTAGACTATATATATAGATTATTATTACATATTACTTAATTTAACCTATATTATAATTTTAACGTAATAATTGCTAATTTTATCTAAAATTATATATTTCAAATTTTCCTTTACTTAAAAAATACTTGAACTTTGCAGTTTAATGATTCCTGATCTAAATATTCTATTAGAATAATTTCAATATTATCTCTAATCAATATTTATTAAATTACATTAAGATATTTCAAATATATGCACTCAAAAATTTTTATTAAATTTTTAAATTTGAACAAATTTATTTGATGAAATGTTATGGTTCAAACTGTACTATAAATCATTAAGTTATATACTGTATAATGAAATATGATAGATGAATAAAAAAGAACTGCTTTGTAATCTACGTTTCTTATTGGTGTTTGATTTTTGTAAATTGGAACTATTAGATGTTGCAATTTTAAATTTTTATTAATAATAATATTTTATTTATAAGTTGATTAATTTTTTTAATTTTTAATTTGCATTTTAAAAAATAAATCAATAATTAGATATCATCTATCATTCATACTCTTACTATAGCTAAAGACCTTCTTATTTAACATTACAACTGGATTAAGAAAGTTCTTTTAAATGTTGTGAAATCTCAACGTATACTAATGGTTCAGAAGATAATGAATTATTTGATTATGATAAGTTACTGGGTGTAGCGAATGATGATGATGAGGTAGATTTAAATGATTCAGAGAATATTTCGAAGATTATGATTATGAAAATAAATGGAAAATTGGAAAAAATAAGGATAATGATGAAGATAATGAAGAATTATCTTTCGATGATTCTTAGGAAAGAATATTAATAATGTAGTTGTATTGTATTTTATTTGTATAATTTGCATATGTTTTAGTATTTAGTAATAGTTACAAGTATCCGATATTTTAAAATCCGAAAATATTTATGGGTCAATTATTCGTGTAACATAGTCTCACAAAAATGATTTCTCTGTAAGAGGGATAAAAATTTTCATAATAATTATTAAAACATTAATAACGATAATAAAGAAAAAATTGATTAATATTGACCCAGTCTCACTACGTCAACGATTCGTACAAGAAGCCGACCACCAATGAGATATCTTAACAATCTATATGATAATCAATGTCATCAATTTCTTTAATCCTAGAATCGAGAAAAAAAAGTAGATAATAAAAAAAAAATTATATATATTAATTTTTTACTTTAACGTTCTACAAAATAAATAAAATTTTAAAAAAAATTTTCAAAGCAAACTAAATGCTATAATGACCATTATTTCATTCATATTAATTCTGTTGACGTAGTGAATATTACTACAAGAAAAAAAGACACTTGATTATCGTATTGTAGATTACAATCTAATATCACCCATTTCGCATCACCGATTACACCCTTTTGAACACTAACTGATCATAAATCACCTTAGAGATATGGTGCCGGAAGTCTTAACTCGACAATTGTTTCAAATTTTTGGCAACGATCTTTTATCACGTGACAAGAAACTGACCAATAAAAATGTTCGATTTTGTGTAACTTTGTGCAACTAACGGGATTAAATTTAGAACAACGTCATGCGACGTTTTTTTTTCTTAAATGTTAGATTAAAAAGATATTGCTGTAAAGGAGAAAATGATATAAAAGTTAAGTATTTATCTATTTCTTTATTATAATACATATAACTTTCTTACTAATCATCCATCATTCTTTCAATATTTTCTGGTAACCGACGGTGTGACTTGTATTTATTAACAGCCTATTTAGCAGTCCTGCCCTCTAATCCCCTATCATATGCATCCATATACCTCCACGATTTACGTGCAAACTTTTGAATAGTCATAATAGGAACGCTATTAAGAGTCTTAGGAATATGCTTTAATAGGTCTGAATAATTGTAATTACATAACCCCCTAATCTCTCATTTCACAAAGCCCCAATACCGCTATATAAAGTTACATTCGCAATGAAACTTTGGGTATCGTTCAAAAATATGTCCTGATCTAACAATTTTTTCTTCTAATGCTGACCGTTGCTCAAGAAAGTTAGGTTGTAAAGACATTATTCGTCGCACACAACAATTCTGTCTTATTAAGTCATCATCAACATCCTTGTCAAAACATTTTTTGCATACTAAATTAATCCTTTCC